TTCACACGCCACGCGCAGATCCACCGGACTCGGACGAAGAAGACTCAGACGATGACTGAAAGTAGCTGAAAGCTGAAAGGAAGTAGCTGAAACGGCCTCATTGGACATGAGTTTTGGATATTACTTTTTTACCTTACTGGACCACAGAAATGTGACCTAATACCACTGGACGAACAAATTCGTAGGACTAACTATTTACCAGGACGAATTTAACTTGGACCAGATTTCAAGGACAAAAAGTCGTGGACAAAATAAATTGGACGACAAAATTTGTGGACAAAAAAAATTGGACCATAAGTCCTATAACCGCAAACCTCCACTCACGTTTTACAGTTTCACACGGAATAATGAATCATTAGGCTTTTTTTAAGCTCTCTCCTCTCACATAAAAATACTTCCGAAAATTGTATAGATAATTTAGTCAATTTTCTCTCAACAAAATTAAAAAATATCGGAGCTTTTGAAATAATGCAATTACCTCTGCAGTAGACTCTGGATTATCCGGCTTCGTATTATCCGGACTCTGGATTATCCGGATCGATTTTGCAACCATGTAACTACGTACGCATTCCGATAAGTGAGCGGATCCGCGGAGAAGCGGTCGCAAGGCATATTGGCGCCTGCAAGGCTGAAGGAATACTTCACGCATTGCGCCAAACGGTGAGGTCGGCGTGGAACGCATTAGCGCCTACTAGATTGCATAAATACTTCTCGCATTACGTCAAACGCAGTGCAGTCGGTTAGTTAGCCTAAAACGCACATTAGCGGCTACAAGACTGCAGAATACTTCACGCATTGCGCGCTTTAATCGTTGTATTGTAATTTATCGTTGTCGGCTACCATTCACAATCACCATTGAGTCGTTCAGTTTGGCGTTAACCTTTTAAATTCGTGTTTGTATGTACATGATGTATACATAATAAGAATACTGTGGTGTTGGTTGGTGGTGTTTGTGTTTACTATTATTATCCGGATTTCTTTTTCATCCGGATCGGACCCGGCACCAATTAATCCGGATAATCCAGAGTCTACTGTATGAAGGTATGCATTTTTTCATGTTTATCCATCGATATAAATATTTGTAATAACGGAAATCGATAAAAAATTATCAATTTAATGATAACGCATTATTTTGATAAGGTTTCATTGCAATAGTTGAAAATGTAATTATCGAATTAAGTGATGTGACCAGCCCATGATTCACTCTCGTTAAGACATATATACATGTTGCTTGGTTGATTTTGTTTAAGAAAAGTGGGGTTGTGTGGTAATAGACATGGGCTTGTCTGCTCCTTCGACTCAGACTCTATGCAATTGCAGCTACGTAAACAATAAAAACGTTGAGTTGGGAGTAACGCGTTTCAAACCAAAAAGAAAAATAATCCAATTATTTTACTAAAATGATCCCTTCCTAACGCTTTCTCTAATGCTGAAAACATCTAACACGTGTATGCAAGTAATTTCACTCGAAAAAAGAAAGATCCAAATTCGATAAAGTGTGGAAAAATCTCACAACCTCGTTTCCTTGATATTCTTACATCTCATGTAATTTTTATCATTTGTGAGTGAATACAAGTTATCTTCATGTTTGAGCTGTTAATCGATCGAAGGGTCTCGCGTTAATAACAGCCACTGCTGATGTACTGATGTACGGAGAATTCTACTGTAATAACCTTTGTTAAAAAAATTTCTGCAGGCAAGAGGTCAGACGGGCAAACGTCACAGGAAACTACCTTGGCATTCAAAAATTTTACATGCGTACTTTTGATTCCGTTCCTGAAATATGCGCTTTATTTAAGGTATGTGAACACCTTTCGTACCATCCAGCTGTGTAGGGCAAATCTCAATCACTGATCATTAATGTTTACGACGGTTAGCTTTTAAAAACGCATATCTCGATTTCGTCATTTCAAATTATCCAACTTTTTCTCTTCTTTTTTTTGGAGACAGTAAATCAACAGAAATATGTTTTATGGAATTCACGAAGGATATCATACTTGAAGAGTCAAATTAATTTCAAAAATCAAAACAAAACTATGTTCCGGTATGATCTGTAACAATTAGCCATATAGGAAGAGAGTAAAATTTGATTGGAAATCAACGTGGTTTCATAATTTTGCCGTTAAACAGTGAAATTACTTGTGCATCTGATCGTTTGATCATTTTGTTCCATTTATTCACTTAATCATTACGAATATTTTGGAAACTTAATCCGTAGGTTTCCAAAATATTACTTCTGACGCACTCAGCGCAAATTAAATATTCATAAAATTCAGCAGGATTAAAGAATTAAACCAAATCAAGCTGAAACTGAGCGATAGAGGTTTGAAGTTTAATGTCTTTATCGGACTCTGTGTTGTATCCTATGCTTTTCTCCTCCTTTTACTATTTCCAAACAAATTGTCTCAACTTTGAATGATTGACAAGAGAAACTTTAGGACTAAAGTAGCCGAACTCAGTACTACTCCTCACTTTTTTTTTACTTTCTTTTTTTTGGTGCAGAATGCGGTTTAATTTTCTTTGGCTCTACTCACTTTATTAATATTGTAGTATATCTATTTAAAATGGTAAAACAAGCTCAATTTTACTAATTGAGTAATTAAGTCATTGATTTATTAATTAATCAATTATTTAATTACTGATTAATTACACTAATAAACTTATTTTTCGATTGTGCAGGTTAATCCTGAGTCGGACAGTGCCAAAGCAGATGATCCAGAGCTGAAGATGGAGTTCATTTACTCAGTTTATGACTCGCTGAGAGAAATGGTACTTTCAATCTGTGTGAACAGAATATGATTCTTTTCATCATTGTATTCCAAAATAATAGACATAGGAAAAGGGGAAGAGTGAGACAATAGAGGACAACCATTTTTTCGGAAAATCTCGATTTTTTTTTTTTTTTTTTTTTTTTTTTTTTTTGCGTCGCACTAAGTAGGTGGTTTTAAAATTTCCAATGAAACGCCCAGATCCGTAGCTATTCTTATCATTACACTATTAAACTACACAAAAAAAGAGACATGTGTCCTCATATCTTATCGGGGGGGGGGGGGGGATTTTTTCTCGCCTAAAACAGTAATGATGCAATAAAATTAACGTCTGGATTTGTTCTTCTTTCTCGCAGCCCCCTGTCGTGCTTGATATACTCCAGAAATCAATTTTAAATGCTGTGTTCGCTAGAGCTGAAAGGTAACATTTTTGTCAACTTCCTTTTCAAAACATTATGTTTTCCTTATTTGCTACTTAATTTTTAATTCCTAATCTGAATGAATTCAGCATTTTTTGAAGTGCATTGCAGTTTAGACGAATATTTTTAGGAGTTGGATGGTTAAGGAACTCGATGGAGGCCATATTTTGTGTCAGAACGGCATGCGATATATCGCATCAATTGGTTCCATTTTTTCGACCACTCGTCATTTTTTTCCAATTTTGAGATCGCAATTCTGTTGTCAGGAGACGAAAGCACTCACTTTACCAATTCTAACAAAGAAATTCAACGTAATAAAGGCGTGGTTTTTTAGAGAGAAAATATCGCATTCGAGTGCAGTTTCGTTATCGGTATCGAATGCGATGTTTTCTCTCTAAACCACGCCTTTATTAGGTTGGATTTGTTCGTAAAAATTGGCGAGTGCTTCAGTCTCCTGACAACAGAATGGACCACTAGACAAGGTACGAATTTAAGCATTCTGATACATGTTTCTTAACCACAATTTCACGTAGAGCATGATTCGCGCAACGAAAACTACTGAAACAGACTCCAAACGAAGATATTAACGTTTTTATTTCACATCGGTTACAAGGAATTTGAACTGCCCGCTCACAAGAAACTCGAAGCTCCACGCGAGTCAAATCGCGCACTACAACGGTTTCAGCAAGCTTCTCAGTCGAGTAATGTTCATTTCCCACCATTTGTTGTTCAAACTATAAGTAATTTGCTATAGCTGAGCCAAAGCGTCAAGATTGAGGTTGCCAGATTTTTTTATTGCAGAGACATTCATGATAACGTTTAGCGCGCGATGTGAATCACGTAGAGTTTTGAGTTTTCATGAGCGGGTGGTTTGAATTCACGCATCAAGAATCATTCAATATCTTCGGAAGGAGTTGATTTCGGTAATATTCGTTGTGCGCATCGTGTTTCACGTGAAATTTTGGTGAAGAAACATGTAGCAGAATGCTGAAATTCGTACCTTGTCTAGTGGTCCATTGCGATCTCAAAATTCAAGAAAAATGATTAGTAGCTGAAAAAATAGAGCAAATCGATAAGATATATCGCACGTCGTTCTGACTTAAAATATGGCGTCCACCGAATCACCTTAAATTCCTAAAATGATTCATGACTTCGACCTATCTTCGAGACGTTCTGTCGTCCTGCTCGATATACTTCAACCAGTAGCGAGGCGTGAATGATCGACTATCGATGTTTTCCCATGAAGCTATGGTAAAGAATCGATTATCAAGGTGTTCGTTGCAAACACCCTGCCTATAGATCCTTTTCCACAGGTTTAAATGACAGATCAATCGATAGATCGCAAAGCACGCCACGCCACTGCTTAACGATATTTTTGTTTAAGAGGCTTCATGGTTACCTTTTCTGACCAAGACTATTCAGTTGCATGAGCCAAACAATGGGACCGACTTCAATAGAATAAAACCGATTTAATATTGAAAAAGTACGTTTTTATGCTAGATTTATTGGAGCATGATGACTCTAAACTCTTACTTTATTCGAGATGTTGGAGCTTTTTAGCCAACGTGCGTAAAAAGTTCAGCTTAAAGCTGAAATCTCATTAGAGAGGGAAAAAGCTCACACACAAGCACAATTTTCACAAACAAGCACAATTTTCACACACGAGCACACAATATTGTGCTTGTGTGTGAGCTTTTTCCCTCTCTAATGAAATTTCAGCTTTAAGCTGAACTTATTACGCACGTTGGCTAAAAAACTCCAACATCTCGTCTTACAACCCGTGCGTTCACCGCAATCGGTTTGTGTCTTACTTTATTCCCATTTAATTCTATTAAAAAATAAAAATAAATAAAAAAAACATTAACCATAAATCTCTGAAGAGATACATTTCTTTGAACAAGAGTCAATTCAAAAAAAAAAAAAAAAATCCGCGGGAACACAGTGGTACATGGGCAAAGTTTTATATCATAGCCTGTATTCGCCATCCAGCATTCGGATGATTGAATGCATTGCTATAAATTCGTTTAAATAATTGGATTGCATTTTGCAAAAAGGAACCAAGAGCATTCCAATGTTGCTAAGATTCTGCATCTAATATTCATTCAATAAAATTACTGAAATCATGCAAAAAGTTAAATTTACAATGGTTATTTTCGTCTTTAAGTTATAGTTTATTGGGAGTAAAGATAAAATTAATTAAGATAATCTGTGTATATTTGCAAGGTAAACAAAGTTGCACGATCTTAGCGACATTGGAATGCTCTTGGTTCCTTTTTGAGAAATGCAATCCAATTGAATATCACTCATTAATTTAAAATTTTCCTTAGAGTCTCAGAAGCTCCCGTTGATCACGTTTTCGACGTTTGTGTCGGGAAATTATGCAATCTAGCAAACAATGTCGAAAATGGAAAATCGAATGCTCTTTGCCAGAGCATGACTTGACCACGAATAAATACAGCCAAGTCAGCAAACTTTCATGCCGAGTTTTCCTGCCCAACAAACCGATTTTCGGCTTACTGTTGAATTTGCAATTTTCGTCAAACTTGTGTGCAGGCTCTGGCCTCAGCATTCTTTGCTGAGCTCTTCATATCTCTCGATTTTTTCCCCAGATGACAACCGATTTTTGATTTTTTTACATTTTATCTGACAATACGTAAGATCGATCTTATACTCCAATACTAACGACAATAAGAAAGCAGGGGATTGAAGGACAAGGCGCATAACTACAGTTTTTGCTATTCCGAGAAAAACGTGTTTGAAGTTTCGAAATTACATGGAGCCTTACGGAGGAAAAAAAGTTCAAACTGACTTTTTGATGCTTAAAAATTAGAATTTGGGAACGAACTTTCCACAGAATATGCATTAAGACTAGTTTTATTTGAAATCAGCGATATCTCAATATTTTCAAAAACTGCACTTATGCGCCTTGTCCTACAAGCCCCTCAATTTTAATGAATGAATTTATCATATCGACGGTGAAACTACCAAACCACGTATCTCGGTTTGCGACGTCGCAGACTTCCTCTCATACTTTATTTTTTAAATGAAAAACTACTTAACATCCAGTCTTGAAAATTTCTGTGATTTTTCCTCTTTGTGCGGAGAAAATCCCGTAAAAATTTCAAGGAATGATATTGATTTGGTCTACTTCAAAAAAATAAAATGTGAGCGTAGATTTTTAAACACCGCATTGAGATACGTGGTTTGGTAGTTCCACCGTCGATATACAATGCAGTGACAAAAAAAACCCCATTTTCACAGGTTTTCTACGGATGACAAACCTCTATAGTACTGGTTTTAAGAAGCGCAGAAAGCATTTACCTAATCGTATGTCAAACCTTAAAAGCAGATTGGGTAGCGAAGAGGATTTGTTCAAGCTCATAATTAGTATTTTCCGTATCAGGCTGTTAATTGAGTCTCAATGATTGTTTTGTCCCTTGTTTTGCAGCCTGTATTCAAAGGACGAGGTAAGGGCATACTTCATCCTGCTCCCATGCCCAGTTTTTGAGCCTCAGTCTTCGTATAACGTATTTGCACACCTACTGAAATCGATCGCAAATCTAAGCAGAGATGACCATCAGCTCCTAGTCAATTGGTTCAAAATGTGAGTCATACATACGTACATACTGGAAGTCTATCCTGCGTTGCTAAGGAAAAACGCCGTATGCACATAACTGCACATTCAAATGTTGCCAGATTCAATCTCAAAAAAAAAAATATTTTTTAGAAAAGTTATGAATATTTTTACAAAAATTTTTAGACACTTAGATCAAGTTACGAACAAAATTCTCTGAGAAATTGAGTGAAAGTGGTTGAGAAATTTTACCGAAAATGTGTGATCGGTCGACAGAAATTGAATGGCAACGTCTGAAAGCTCTTACAGCGTTCTTCCTTAGCGCGACGCAGTATCCTCTCCTCTGAAATATTATTTCTGAATTATTAGCGATACGGAAAGACTGGCCTTCCTTTCATTGCTCATTTCAGAGATGACCGCATATTACCAATTATTTTTTAATAGGCACCCACGAAGTCGCGTTCAGGAGGATAAACTCGACACGAGGATAAATTATTCAAAGAACAGAAATGCGCAGGTGGACACGAGATCCTATTTTGCGTCGAATTTCGGTGACAAATATTTATTCACCCGTTTTAAATATATGGTACGAGGGACATTAAAAGGTCAAAACTTTTATGAGTAGATCGATATTTGTCCGTGCCTTGTCCTACGCGATAATTGTTTCGAATAGATTAAACAACTCACCAATTTAAACACACTTTCGATGTAATGCATTTCTTTCTAAGTATGATGGGAATGCTTGACTCTTTGTTAAATATATTGCTCACGCTATGGTTCTTCACAATAAATGATGAAGGTAAAAAGATTAAATTGGTTCTTTGCATAAAATATCAACCAGGGAGGTGCTTGTTTTCATATAAAAAGTTTTATCTCATACAAAAATAACGAATCAAACACTATTTACAAACTAGGAATTTAATCAGTCCGCGTGCTGCTCAAAGAAATGAGATTAGCGGAATATTAATAACTTGCAAAAAACTAAACATCCCCTCTAGATGCGTGTACACATTGTCATTTTAATAAAACCTGAAAAATCTACGGACTTTAATCCACTCCTCAACCCCACTTGTGATATGGTTTGGTAACAGGTTTTTATATCGATGAAAAATTAAGTTCCGTGATGAACTACGAGACTTTCTCAACGCAGGGTAGTTCTGAACTATTGATGGTTCTACACGGCAAGGTCAATCCTCCTTCAGACTGAAAGTTTAGGCGGCAACATTGCACAATGTTATGACAAGTGTCCGAATTCAACTTCGATGTGGCGCTGAAATAAAGGAACTTTACACATCTACATAACGGTTCAGTAGGATTAATTCCTGACTGAAAATTTTTTTTTACAGAAAATAAATTATAACATATTTGACATGTATCAAATGTCTCAATCGTCTTTTGTCTCAAATGCTAAGTAAAATAAGAAAAAAACCTTCTCAGCCTCTAATTGGTTTAAGAGCATTGCAAAGATGCTCTATGTTAAATAAATAAGACATCGTTCTGACACGAATAATTGAAAGTCCCAGATTTTAAAGTAATGACCTTAATTTTTTCACATCAGCGTAAGGAAAGAACGAGTATATTGCTGAACCTCATTCAAAAATGAAAATAGGTATTAACTTAAAGAGGGCGTTTTAAAATCATTTAACAATACTGCAGTGTGTTTTAAATGGATCAGGAAGCTTTTGAAAGTGTACAGTGACTTCAACTTTGTAACACAGAATAGCTCGGTAGAATAATTTGAGGTGGCTCTAGAGTACTTTCAAGAAACATTCGATTGCCGATCGATCGATTGAACTTCATTCTTCAATACCTATGGAGCTATAATTTCTGGCTCATACGTAAAAACACTCATGCCTATTGAGAAACTAGTGCCACTTACGTTGTTTCTAAACTCAGCCATAAATTGAAGTTCCGAACTGCAAAATGTTTTCCAATTAATTTTCACCAAAGGAACATCACGGAGTTTCTCGTCAGTTATTTGTACACAAGAAATTCGATTATCAATCATCAATCGACTACTGATTTGTTTACGAGAGACCTGCAGCATTTTAAATAAACATTCACTGGAAAAAAAAGCTCTTGGATCTAGAGTCCAGACTTTCAAACAAATTTACAAGAAAAAAGACTCTTGATTCAATCGGATTTTTGCTTGAATCGAGAGCCGAACTTCTTAATCTAAGCGGATTTCCTATACGATTCAGGCAAAAGTCTGATTGAATCAAGATGATTATTTCTTCTAAAATTTCTTGTAATTTTCTCAAGCCCGGACTCTGAATTCAAGATACTTTTTTTCCAGTGTTTGCTTACTTAAAGTCGAATATCTTCTCACCCTTCTTCTTTAGATTCAAATTTGATCAGCAAGCAATTACTGACTCCATTAACCCCCCTATTTTATCCTGCAGGTTCTTGTTCACTAAGATTACAGGTTCGTAATGATCATGACCCCGATCATATTCGTCCATACCCGCTCATCTAGAGAAAGGCTCCGTCTCTTTTAAGCCCCAATCCTCGTTTTCAGCGTAAATCGAGTACGGCTCATAGGCTTGCCTCACTTCCTGCACCGACGCAGGCGCAGTTAACCCAGTCTTAGTGGCAGACTGAAACCCGTGAACTGCTACAACCTGATCCTTCAACTCGGAGACAGGTCCATCAGATAGAATCAATTTTGGACTTACGCTGTTTTGCTGACTTTGCTGGGGCCCTAGGCTGGCAAAAACTGGTTGGAGTTGCTGTTTTTGCTCCACTGGAAAATACAACCATACCGGAACACCGTAGAATTCTTGCCCTGAAGAGAAAAGACGTCCGTGCTGATTGAATCCATTCGATGCAGGGTTGAAGGGCTGGAAAGTTGATGGTGGCGCGAATTGATACGGTCCACCACGCACTATTGGTCGAAGTTTTGATGCGTAGTCCTCGAAGTCATCTTGTGTGAAAGGTTTTGAGATCTGCTGCTGCCCTTGCACTGATGCAGTTGGTTTTCCAATTTGAGGTTCGTTTTGTCCATCCGGTTTGGGCTTAAGATCTTGAATGGGGCCTGGCGCAGGAGGTGGTAAACCATATCCAGGCATAGATAAAGGCGGTTGAAGCACATACTGACAAATTAGTGTTGGCCGCAACTCCAAACCTGCGTGTTGTTCTGGGTAACTAGGAGCAGCCTGAGATCCATACGGCGGTGGTGTCAGTGGTGCGTAGTGTAGGAACCCATTTTGCGGTATTGGTCGAGGTCGTACAGGTTTGACTAGTGGGCTTGGGAGAGGATACTGATCGTATCCATTGGGAACTGGTTTCGATGGCTGAGATTCACTCTGAACGGGACTCACAGGGCTTGGAGATTGAGATGAACCTTGGTCTTCGAAAATTGGTTTCGGAGGTTGAGGTTTTGAATAAACTGGCTCACGTTGCGATGCGCTGGCTGAGGATCCTGAAGTGAAAATTTCAGTATTGGGATATATTGCACTCGGAATATACTGTTGAATGTTATTTGCGTTGATTGGGTTAATTGGTATTGATGGAGGAGGTGGGAAACGCACTGGACCCTGGAAGGGTTTAATGGGTTGGTAATTCTGTTGCGCTGTTTGGTACCAGTAAGGATTAAACTGATTTGACTGCCAGGAGGTTGGTGGGTTGGGAGGCTGAGGCAGTTTTGATGCTACCGGTGAAGTTTGAGATTGCGAATTACTTTGTTGAACTTGTGTGCTTCCATCTTGTCTCGAGTAGTAATAATTTCTCCCACTGTGTGACTGGGATACATAAACATCTGAACCTTTTTCCTCTTCAAGTGGGACTGGTTCAAATTCGATTGCCCTGTAATGACGTGTGACTGGGTCATCTAGTGCTGAAAATAGTTCAGTTTGACAAGCGCGGGCTCCTTGTCGCTTTGCTCGAATGACGTCACTTAGAGGAAACTCAAACTCGAGTCCATTCAATGTTGAGTCAGCGGAATCTTCAACTATACTTCCAGGGAACGTTTCACCTGTTCCCGCGCAAATTAAACTTGCAAAACATATCAAAAAATGCAACATTATTGTAAGTAGAGAGAAACTACTGAAAAGACAATGGTTGAAATACACTTTTTTTAAGATACGAGTTTACGCGGTGACCATTCGAACAGTAAATCCAACGGTGATTTAACTACTACGCAGGTATATTTCGCGCACAAAAAATTGGCCTCGAATCCGAGTTCAACACTCCCGGTCACACCGATGAGATTGAGTTCGAAATCGGCTCGAATCAAGTGTCATCCCGAACTCAAAACTCTCATTTTCTTCCGCGAAATATCTTCTATTGTCGCCGGTAAGACATAACAAAATTGTCACCCGATTTGAGGACGCCGTGTGCTCATTCATTCGATCCGTTACAACGTTAGTGACACCCGGAGCATCGGCCGAAGGTGTCCGTTTCAGGTGTCGTTATTTTGAGACGGAAAGATTGTTGTGCAATCACAGGCCATCGCTCTGAAATTGTGTTTTGAGAAGCTGAAGTGTCACCTGCTTCTCGGGGAGGTTACGATTTTTGTGGTGGTTTCCCTCAACAGCCACTGTCCAAGTCTGGTTCGAGGGTTAGTTTTCCAAAGGAAGAATAAAGGCCCCTGCGCCCCTCCTTCCTATGGTGGATCAAAAATGGCATAATCCTCCTAGCATAATTTTATTAATTGGACTATTTCTACCGAACAGACCTATGTGCAGGCGAGAAATATGGGGTGTGCTCTAGAAAGCTGCTTAAGAAGCAATGTAAAAGTGGGCGTGATTCCTTCTGAAGAATTGGAAAAGCGGAATTTTACATTTTATCAAACAGACCTATGTGCCAACTGAAGGCAAGATTCATGAGCCGCGGGCATGGCAAAAGAGCGTTATGGACAGGGCTCATGAGTTAAAGACGAAGCGGAAGCGGGACGACGGCGGTTCCATCTCCGTTGGCGTCACTGGCGCTTTATTATTCTCACTCACTCTTACGGCCAGAGAGCTATCGAGCACACCCCATATTTCTCACCTCCACATAAGTCTGTTTGGTAGAAATACGTCCAATTTTGT